GGCTTTAGCACTCAGGAGCATTGACAGATTGGAGGAGGAAGCAAATCCCATAAACTACGTCTTGTTTGGTTCTATCAGCAGGTTCTGGTCTCATGTTAATTATTGTGACAATGAAAAGGAAAAGACATTATCTAAAGGAAAACACTGTAAAATTTATTCTGGTCTACTATGTAATGATCTGAAAGGAATTGAAGAATTAGTTCTTCATTTTTTTTTTTTTCATTTTAATTTTGTTTCTTGACATAATTTAAGTCTGACTGCAAAGGTTTTCTTTTATTATTATATATTCTAAAAGTACAACATCACAAGAATTTGTTCATGTAAAACATTTTTATTATAGAAGAGTGAAAATGTATGTAAAATAAAATGTGTTCTAAGATGGAACCTCAAATATACAAAAAAGGTATATGATTCTGGGCAGCAAATCCAAAGGTAACAGAAGACAGCACCATTTTATGTACACTCAAATTATCAATTGAGCTCAAGATTTATGAAAATAAGCCAAGGAAAGCATCATCCATATCTCAGCTGCATGTTTTCCTGTCCTCATTCATTTTTTCTGGTGTAAATAAAGTTACCTACTGTGCCTAGAAAAAGCAAATCTGATGAGCAAAGAAATGTTAAAAATCACAAAGCAAAGGCAAAGAATCCTAGAGTGGGAGTCAAGAACCCTGTCTTCATCCAGCCTTTGCCTTTATAAGCTATGTAACCTCAAAGAAGTCACCAAACCTCCCTAAGTCTCAGTCTCTATAACCACTAAAATTAATAAGAATAATAATAATGATGATAATAATAATAAATTACATTGATCTCATTTGAGCACAGAAGTAGAGATAGTGCTATGTATTTACCATACCATTTCCTCCTCCTGAGAACTCTGGAAGAATCCATTTTTGCCAGACTTTCTTGTAGTTATGTTAGGGGTTACTTGCCTGAATTCTAACCCATGAGTGTAAGTGATGTAAGGCATTCTCAAAATGGTCTGTAAATATATCCCACAAGATCCTCAGCTCTTCCTTCTTGTTCTGTGACATCTTTAGCAGTCACGAATCACAGGCTGTAGCTACAAGATATGAAAGCAGTCTGTCTGGGTCTCTGTGTTACCAACAATCTGAGTAGGAGAGTCACCAATCCTACTCAAACTATGATGTGAGCAAGAACCAACCTTGTTTTATTAAGCCACTAAGGTTTTTAAGTTTATTTTTTACTACAGCATAATACAGGACTAATGAAAAGATTAAATGAAAAAAATAAAAATTACTTGTTTTTTTAATATATCTATGTGCAATACAGCTATACAGAGTAGTACTGGCAGCAGTGAAGGAAAGCTTATAAAAAAATTAATAAAAATTCTAAGGTTTGAAATTAAACCATTAAACAGGTAACATAGAGGCTTCCTGAAAGGTAGAATCCAGTCACTATAGACGAGCCATTTACTTACTTAAAAAATTAGTATATGTGTCTGCCTTTAACAAATCTAGAAAATATAAACAGAGATGATCCACTTTGCCAAATGTTTCAACTGAAGAGACCAGGTAGCTGTGACCTCATCTCCTACGTTTATTACAATGAACTGTGGTCTGACATTAAGTTCCTAGAAAAAGTGACCTCTGGCCCAAAGTTAAAAATTCATACCAATGGGAAGTGATTCACTTTAAAATCAGAACTGAGAGGATGATCGTGATCATTTTTAAAATCTCTTAAAAGAACTCTCTTCTTGGTTATAAGCACTCAAAAAAGAACAACAAGATGCTAAGATTTTTATGGACAATACAATTTTATATACACTGATTTTGTCTAAATTTCAAGTATTACTTATATAGAATTTGGAGGAAGCCTCTTGAGGACCTAAAAAAATAATATTTTAGGTACCATCATTATTTTTATGCGGTGTCAAATTTTCTGCATCAAATTGTTTAGTCAATCAGAGAATTATTCCCTTTAGAGCTTTTGAAGGGATATTAATTCATGTCAATAAAAAGAACCCTTGATTAAAGCCAAGAGAATTACAGCAATTCAATTGCTCCTTATTGGATGACTATTAGGTGTTACTTTAAAGTACTACTGGCAGGATTAAAAAGATTTGTCATAGAATCATAAGGCCAAAAATCAGTTCAGAGAAGGCTAAAAATATTCCTTAAATTTAATTTTTAAATATGGATTTCCAAAAATTAGACATGTACTTCGGAGCAATCTTGGTATATCTAGAATTGCATAAATGAATTTAAACCTGTCAATGACCCACTTTAATGAAAGAAATTACAGCCATCTTAAATACTTTTAATTTATTTTTATGATAATGCTGAGTTGCTAATTTTAGAATTCAGAAATTAAAAATTATGGCATATAATGCATTTAGCAAAATCAACCAGCTAGAGGAGGAACAGTTAAGTATATACTTCAGGGAAACAAAAACTGAATTTGCCTATTCTTGAATTGCTAAAAATTCATAATATATCTTCTCACACAGGTTAGAGAAACCATTAGGAAATGCAGGCCAAGTCACTAGAGTTAATTCTATAAACACCCAATATATATATACATATATTGAAAGAAAGCAACTTGACAAGACTTATGGAACAGTAATTAGCCTGCATTCTCACTACAGCAGGGACCACTCATTGCTTACCTTAGAAAACAGAACACTACTTTTTTTGATAAGCACATTTCTTCCTAGAATAAAACTACATGTATCCATGAATGAACATTTGATCGAGTTCAAGGATAATGTAGGACATCAGAAAAAACTACTTAAAGAAAACTGACTCATCTTTTGGGAACCACTTTTTGATTTTTTGCCTTTTTTACGCCTCCTGACCCCCAACTTTATGATGGCTAGAGCTCCAGTAGCCATCATAGACCCTGAGTTCCATGCACTAGGAAGGAAGAGTAGGAAAATAAAAGCTTAAATGCTTGATGACACCATGGAATTACCACATAACCATTCTAGTTTACATCTAGACTACTTTTACATGAGTCAGAAGTATATTGCTATCTCCTGTAAAACACTATTATTTTGAGTTTTTCTGTTAAGGACAGCTAAAGTGATTTTAACTAATATAATTAGTCAAAACAGTTTTTAAAAATAGCCAAGAACAATAAATTGCCTACCTAATGTCTCTTGTTTAACTTGACGAATTTGTTTATGTAGATTCAATTTTAACTTTCCTTTATCCTATTTAACAGTATAGTCAAATTTGTTACTATATGTCTTACGAGAAAATCAGCACTATGGAAATTTATTTTAATAATGTTTTAACATATTATGAGACCTAGAGACAAAAATTTACTGGGAATCCAACTTCTCAGGGAAAATTTCCCTATAATTACCAAAAATGCAATAACGACAACAACAAAAAAAAACTACAATGAGAAATCCTTTATGTTCATTGCAGCATTATTTATAATAGACAAGACATAGAGGAAATCTGGGTGTCCATGAATGAATGAATACATAAAGAAGAGGTGGTACATCAAATATTACTCAGCCATAAAATAAAAAATGAAATCTTGCCATCTTCAACAACATGGAAGGACCTCAAGAGTATTGCACTAAATGGAGTAAATCAGAGAGAGAAAGACAAATGCCATATGATTTCACTTATATGTGGAATCTAAAGAACAAAATAAAAAGCAAACAAAACAGAAACAAAGTCATAGATACAGAGAATATTTTGACGGTTGCCAGATGGGAGGGAGGTTGGGGGAGGTAAAAAGGGGATGGGATTAAGAAGTACAAATTGGTAGTTACAAAATAGTCACAGAGATGTAAAGTATAGCATAAGGAATATAGTCAATAATATTGTAATAACTATGTATGGTGTCAGATGGGTACTAGATTTATTGCAGTGATCACTTCATAAGTTATATAAATATCTAACCCCTATGTTGTATACCTGAAACTAATATAATATTGTATACCAACTGTAATTAAAAAATAAAAATATATATTTTATAAAAGAAACCCTGTAGACTTTTATTTTCTAAAATAATTTAGGGAAGAAGAAAAAAGAAATATTCTGCCATAGAACATGAATTGATATGTGATAATATGAAGAAAACTTTCTAGTTTAAACTGTTTTCTATTATTCCTATTTCCAAGATTCTATTTTTAAAAATCTATTGATTCTTATATAAGAACAATGGTTAAAATTTTAACTGCCAAATAAAATTTACACTGAAAACTTCTGATGAAGGCCAGGGAATTTTTGAAAGCCTTAAGCTCTGACAACTATATTTAATTCAGTCATATACATGAAATGAGAGAGCAAGAGCAAAAAAGAGAAGGAGAAAGATAAAATGAAAAAGTGAAAAAACCAAACTATTTACATCAATCTGGGTCTTAAATAAAAAGGACCCTATTCTATTATATATGTTTTTTTCTCCCCTACTATATTTTATAAACTGGGGCTAGGAAAGCTTTTATCTTTCAATCTAGAAACAAAAATAATAAATGGTTACAAGATTTTAGTATCAAAAAAAACTTCTCAGTGCAGGAATCTCTTTCTTCCCCATCTCAGTTTGATCTCTTTCTCTATTTCCTCTAAATAGGCCAAAAGAAAAAGCAAAATGTCAATACCAATTTCTTTTTTTTGTTTTTCACATCAATAAGTAGCTGATATATTAAGCTCTCAGGCTGCAGAGTCATAATTTTTTAAAGTCATTATGACAAAAAAAAAACAAACAAACCCCAAATCACAACTCTCCAAATGTATTGAAAGTGACTCTGTCATCTGCTATATGTGTGCTCATCTCAATAGCTTACAGTTGTTACAGCTTATGCCAAAAGTAGAAAGACAAAGGTTGACAAGAAGAAAAACAGTATTCACATATTTTGAAGACAGTTAAAATATTTCAATTATAAATTATATTCGACAAGATTATCATTTTTGTGATCGATAATTATAGCCAAATTAACTTTCTTTAAAGTATCACAGAACTTAACATCTTGTGGTTGGTATAGAAATAAAAATATATTTTAAGTGATGTTCAGGACTTACCACCTCCTCCTCCAAGGAGACTGGCATTTGCTATTTAAAAGAAAAGAAAAAAGAAAACAAAAGACATTAAATAATATATAAAAATATAATATGACATAGTTTAATAAAAATAATGATCATATCTCTTATAAATAGACACATATTTTTATATAAAAACAGCCTTTAAAACTGCTTCATAATAGTAAGAATATCAAAATATTTCACTATTTTATCTTTTTTCTCTTCAAATAACTATCTTTATAATATAATTCCTAGTAATAAAATGAAGTACATGTTGTTATCCTTGTATTTTCCATTCTTTATCTAAATTAATCTTCTGAGTTCTTCATTTTATCAGGTAAAGATAGAACAATGCTATTTAGGCAATCTCAATGATTTCAAAGGACAATGTAATAAGAGAGTATAATACTAATTTTAATTGAATTGAACACCATCAAATAAAGCTATCTCAACACTTTGCAGTAAGAACTCTTAAATAGTAACAAATTTGTTACTTTTCGCATTAACTTTTTATTTGAAAGCAATAAATTTTAAGCATGTTTGCAAAACAATGCTGTACCATTTCTTACCCAGTTATCCATTACTCTAGCACACATATTTATAGAAGCCAAATCATAACCAAAATATAAGATAATTCCATTTGGATTGCTTTCAAGAGGTCAAATTTTCATAAAGTTCCATTGTAGGTTTCTGCTGAAGTATTAAGAAACCTTACACCTATCTTTATCTAGTCATAAAGTTCCATTGTAGGTTTCTGCTGAAGTATTAAGAAACCTTATGCCTATCTTTATCTAGTCATTACAATAGCCAGAAAACAAGTCAACATATACTGCACTGAGCTTTATTCCATAGAGTTCTTATATATCATAGGTATTATCTCATGCCATTAAAAAAAAAGAAAAGAAAAGAAATCATATAGCAATATAAGAAAGTATGTAACAACCATGATTCCTTTTTTTGTGGAGAATCCTGAGCTATCTAAAGATTAAATAAATCATTTAGGAAAGAAGAATAGGGGTCTTTAACTTGAATTTAATGTGCTGTCCATAGGACCATGCATTGCCACAGCTAAGAGAAGCAAATATTAGAATGGTAATGATTACATCAATAACTAATGGATCATTTTAAGAACAAATGCCCATATTCTTATTCCATGAGGTTAAATATGTGGTGACTTCCTAATTATTACAACAGTAAAGAAATATTATGAAAATGAATGGAGAGCAAAAGCCTTTGAAGATATTCTCAATATTCAATATTAGAGCATCAAATCTTGTTTTGTATAATCTTCCAACTATAGGACCTTCAAATTGCTGCTCTTGCCTTCCTCCCAGTGCTTTTGTCACAAACATAGAGTGAATAGCAACGTCATTATTCAACCATAAACAAAACTCACTTCTCATGTCATAGTCTTCTGCCACCCTATCACCACAGATCTCTAAATCCCTTTGACTTCACAGTGAGAAAGTGTATAGTATTTACGTAAACAATAGCCAAGACTTAATGTCCTGCCCCAAATCAAACTTAGTAACTGTTGAAATAGTAACTTGTTTCACTAGGGGCACTTGGGAAAGATGTTGCAAATTCTGTTTTTCTCCCATACCCACTAGTGGATGGGGAAATTTTATGATCAACTGGTGTCTCTTGGCTAATCAAACATTTTTCTAAAATCTTAGCTACATGCATTTATAAAATTACATGGCATTTCACACTCCTGCTTTTTTTTTTTTTTTTACTTTTATATTTGACTGAGAACTACTTCCCTACCTATAGGTTTTCTAGATTCCTAAAACTCTATTATCCTCCAATTTTCACATATTCATTCATAAAGACAAAGGTATTTCCAACAACAATAATGAATAGTAGCTTTGCACTCGTTATCATGCCCAGAAGCATGATAACACAATACTGCCTACTTTCACCCAGTGTTTTGCTCAATAAAGGTGGAGGCTGCCTGTTTTGAGAGCATAGCCCTCAAAACAAAGCCCAACTGTTTAATCAGGCACTTGTCCAATAGATGTGGGTGGATGAGTGGGAGTGGTGTAGGAACTGGAATTTCTGTCTAGAGAACCATCAAGGCAATTCATGTCAGGTGTGTGCTCATGTCTATATAAGCATATTTGGTCACATTTTAATCTCAACATAGAACTATTTTATAGAATTGTGGGATTCTACATAGTACACCATCACTTTTAAGATAACTTCATGTGTATTATACATGTAATAGAATCTTAATCTAAGCTGCTTAAATATATTCAAAGCAATTCTAGTAACTATAATCCTGATAATGATTCTTCTAAAGAATCTATCAAATTTAAGTCTATTTTATCAATTTCTGTTTTCTAAAAATAAAAAAATAAAATGTTTATTTTATTAGCAAAATAATCGAGGCAATTTTCTTCAATAAAAGTGATATAAATATAGACAAATAAAAGTGAACCTTTATTATGATTTCTAAGATTACCTTCACAAAGCACCCTATAATTATATAACTGATTCTCAACATTTATTCTTCTGGTAGATTAACATTGTTTCTTCCATTTACAAAGGTGAAAATGATTTTTGTGTGTCTAAAATTAAAAATCGTTTAATTTCTATCTAATTATCTCCAATAAATTGAGGTGTATCCCAATTAGACAAGAAGCCCCTAAAGATAAGGTCTGAGTTTAATAGTTTGACCTTCATCTAATAAGCTCTCAATATATGTTTTCTAAAAATGAGATAATTCACAGGTTTAGTCCAATTTCTCTGTTGACACATAAGAGGTATTTCTTCACTAAAGTGTTTATGAAGAGCAAAACTTGCTCCTTCTTCCTCCCATAAAATTAAGGGCTGTTAAAGAAACTCAAAGTTTATTTGTAAATACTTAGTGATTAAGAATATATATGAAATATATTTATGTCTCTTTGTAACGCCATTGCTAGAGAAAATTTTATACATGTCTCTTGTTATTCCTAGTTTCCCAGAAAAAAATATGAGAAAAGAAACAAAAAAAAATTGAAGTTTATGAGCATAATGCCACTACTTCTAAAATATGACTTTAAACTCTCTTCTCTGAGCATGTTCACTAACCAACACTATTTTCATTCATATTTTCTCAAATAAAATGCCCCTTCTATTACTAGAGGAGATGGAGGAAAAAAATCGAGCTACACGAGTTGTCTCAAAGACTGATTCAATGAGAAATTAAAATAAGTCATTACAAGTTAATGAATATGTATGTTGTACTTTTTTCTCCTCAAAAAGTAATAACTTGAGAAGATGAACATTTCACTGTTTATAAAATGAAAACAATGTTGAGCATAAAATGGGAAAAAGGGTTACCTAAATCTGATTTCAAAATGGCAAGTATGAGGAATTTATTCGTAATGTCTTAAGCAAATGTTTAATTTTTTTAAAGTTTATGAGAAATTGTTAACTTTTTAAATTAAAATTATCGAATTTTCTTAAGAGTAAATATTTATTTTAAATGATCAAAACAAACAAAAAAATGAATACAATGTAGAAATCCTTTTCTTGGGATAATTAGCCTAAATAATGATTGTGGCAGTTACCAATAGTGTCATTATTTTATGTTAGTTTCAAAGGAGAAATAGAATATTACACTACCTTCTTGCTAAAAAAAAAATTCTTATCTTTTAAAGAATATAATTATAATTAAATTGTAGATCAAACCATGAAAAATAAGATTATCACATACTATAGGTCATCTTCCATTACTGGAGGTTCCTAGATGGAATGCATGGTATGACATTATTAAAAATGCAAGACAAAGCTAAAATTTATCAGAAAACTAAAGCACTTTTCCTCCTAAAATCTAAAAATTCTTTTTGGTCTGTATAGGGTAATGGAAAAAAATACTAAACTGAGAGTTATGTAATCTCTGCTTTAATTCTACCTCAGTCACTAAATAGCTAGGTGATTAGGGAAAATAGTAGTTTTCTTCTACCGGGAAAGTTAGAATCAATTATGAATGGTTTCAAACAATTCTGAATCATTAATTACAAGAGACTGTCTGTACCTCTAATTTGAGAAAGTTGCTGAGGCTAAATCTAGGCTCTGTGGAAAAGTGAACTATGGTCAATTAGTAATAACAATGTTGGTCACAGAGTGGGATAGGAAGAATTAAAATGGCAGCATCCATGCCATATATTGGGGACTGCTGGATCAGAAGACTTCTCTTAGATTTGATGGTTTTTGATGCAATGAACTTCTATTCAAAAATCTTAAAAAAAAAAAAAAAAAAGCTAACCTAACATGTACCAATATTGTATTTTAGCATACTTAATAACTCCTGCGGTTTGAGTCTAAAATAATTTTATTTGTGAAATAATCCAGAGCTGGGAGAAATGACCCATGCCGATTATAAGCCAAATTGGTCTGATAAAATGTTTGGAACAATTTTTTATTCTTCTTGCCCAGTAATTTCTATTACATTTACAGTAATTATTTGTTTTCCCACTTAATTTCTACCCCTACCCAACTCTGTCTGTCAAACAAGTAACAGCCTGGGAGACTAATCTTTAAACATTGATTAAAACTATTTGTGCAGGATTTGTGTTTGCTTTTCATCATTATAAAATAAATTATAGTTGCTTTCATCCTAACAGGATCCTGACCACCTAGTTTAGTTTATTTATTCTGCTTCCTTATTACAATAAAGCACATGGGATGTCAAAATTATCATTGGCAAAACCTTCCCCAGGAGCTCTACTTAAAACACCATTTCATTCACAACATGTTATCATAAAAGATACAAAAGCCAAAATAGCACCCTTTAGAATGGCACACATTATATCCCCTACACTTTGAAACTCAAAGTAGGAAGTGCTAAAACATCTGTTAAGATTAAAATTCCAAGCACATGTATAACTACAGAACCACTTTATACAGGGAGCAACCATCTCAACTGACAGCTGTTGAAATACAATCTACACAGACAAATACAGCTATCAATTTGGCAACAGCTCTCTGTTCATACTTTACTAGATTTACACCTTCTAAACAAAATTAATGGAATGCCATTGGGT